TATCCGATTGAATTGAGCCTGTAGTTTAAATATTTTATTAAATAATAGCTATTGAAAGGTAATATAGAAAATGAGGATTCTCTGGAAAGAAGGCTAGTTGTAGCTTGTGATGTGAATATTTGAAAATCAGTTCAGTACATCATTTCTACCTCCTTACCTCTTTTCCCCACTGGATCCATTTTTTTCTGAGGAACAAAAATGTGGTATTACCATATGAATTCTAGAAGATTCTTTAAATCACTCCGTAGCAAAAATGGCATTTTAAAGGAAATAATGTAGTTAATAAATTCTGTGTGCAAGTTATACATAGGAGAATATTGTCAGAATCCATAAGAGAATATTCCTTTTAGTTGTGGAGCCACATTCTTAACATTATCATTGTTGGTATATATAAATCATTTCTCCAAGCCCAAATGCTGTCATGGAATCTTCACAAAGAAATTATATAGAGATTCATAGCCCTGGCCCATTTTATGTGCATTTGTTACCAAGTAAAAGTCACGTATACTACATAAAATAATCCTCAACAATTTTAATTTCTTGGCAGTCAAGCCTAGTTGAATGAGTAAAAACTTAAAAATGCAGAATAGTTCAACTAAATTACAGCAACTTATCTTTTAAACAATGACACTTCCTGTAACCCATTGTAATAATGCAAGTTATTCTGATTCGCCACATTGATAATTTATCATTAGATAAACCATGTAGTGCCATGGAATTAGGGCTGCAGTACTTGTATCACTCCAAAGGACACGCACTCTTGTTTAGTTTTCAGTGGGAACAGATTGGTGCTTGGAGCAAAACTTGTATTACATATCTAAGCATAACAAATTTTAAAATCAAATTAACTATATGAATATGCAAGCATTTTCCTAATTTGCCCCTAGATGTTTCTTATAAAAATTAATGGGAGGCGGGAGGAGAGAGGACAGGGGAATCCATGGCTGATATGTAAAATTAAATTAAATTATAAAATTAAAAATAATAATACAAAAATTAATTCAAGATATACATTTTTGGCTTATATTATTTTTGCTTTGCTCAACTTTTTTTCAGTGCTGGGAATCAAACTTAGGGCCTTACCCTTGCAAAGCAAGCACTCTTCCATTGAATTTCCCCATCCTTTGCTTCTTTGACAAAGGGTCTTACTCCGTAGCCCACATTTTGGCCTCATATTTATGCCTTCTGCCTCAGCCTCCCAAGCACTAGGATTACAGATATATGCCGCAATGTCCAGTCTCTCTCTTAGGGCCAACAGGATGTCTCAATGAGTAAAGCTGCTTATAACACAAATCTCATTAGCCACATAGTGAAAGAAGGCAACCAACTCTCACAACTTGTCCTCTGATCTCCACATGTATGCCCACACACATTAAATAACTGAATATATAAAAATGCAATAAATAAAACTATTTCTCATTTATATATTTATATATTGCTTTAAAAAATAGATGTAATTATGTATGTCTATTTGATTATGGTCATGCAGTTAAAATGATGGGTTTTTAATTGCTTAATTTATCTAATATAATAAGAGAATGCAATCTGTCATTCTAAAATTTCCACACTTTTTCTTCTCTTTCCCTATTAATTCTTAGATCATTGTTTTTATCATAGAGCTTTAAATGCTATCTATATGTGTCTTCCACATTTCTATGCCCAGCCTGGACCTATAAACTGAATTCCAAGTCCTCATTTCTGGCTGTGTACTAGATACTTCCACTTGGATGTCTCACAGACCTGTCAACATTATCATTCAAAGCCTAACTCCTGAACTTCACCCAGCCTTCTCTTCCATTAGCATCTCAAAGTCAGTCAATAGCTTCTCCATCCTCATTACCCAAGCAACAATAGTTAAAACCATCTTTTCTCTTTCTGCCTCTTGTACTCTTCCTCTCTTTCTAATAAATTAACTTAAATTGTCACCAATGTCTTCACTGTATTTGAGATCAAACATTTCCCATCATCTTGCTGTCCTGCTTCAATACCACCGTTTATGGTTGGAACCCATCAGTTGCCCTTGTTAGTTTTTGTTCCTTGATTCAACCCTGGCTTTCTTTTCAATAAACTCTCCACTGAGAAGCCGGAGTGATAACAATTGTGTTAGTCTGGGTGGTGTTGGTGCACACCTTTAATCCCAGCACTTGGGAGGCAGAGCCAGGCAGATCTCTGTGAGTTTGAGGCCAGCCTGGTCTACAGAGCGAGATCCAGGACAGGCAGCAAAACTACACAGAGAAACCCTGTCTCAAAAAAAAAATGTGTTAGTCATCAGCTCAAGATCTCTAATGCCTCCCTACTCACTTTGAACAAGAACAGAAGTCTGAATCATGATCCATAGGACTCTACAACATCTGGCCCTGGCTACCTGCTTCCCTCCTACCATCCCCTTCTTCACTCTTTTACAGTCTTGCTAGACTCTCACTGTTCTGGACTCAAGATTTTTAACATTAATTTCTTCCTTCTTCCTGGTGTGATATTCTCTAACTTTGACTTTTTTCTCAAATGTCATTTTCCCATGACATGATTGTCCCATTTAATACTGCATCTCCTTCAGCATTTCTTCTCACCTTGTTTGCTGTTTTCTATAGGACTCACATTATGCTTTCCTTGTGTATTTTTTAAATGCCCGTCTTCCTATATTTGTTGCCATATCCACAAATACAAGTATTCATGTCTGTCTGGTTTGTAGCTGAATCCCTAAATTCCTTTCCTGATATTCTGTAAGCACTGACCAAATGTCAATGTGATGAATGAAAAGAATGGACCCAGGAGAATGCCAGAAAGAGAAACAGTGGTGCTAGAATAAGGATATCTGAACCACTTCTAGAGGAGAAGATGGGAACTACATGCTGAGGAAAGCAAGCAAGATGTAGCTTCATCTGTGGGGATAAAAAGTTTTGAGTGAATATCTTCCAACCATGTAGAGAATTTTGATGCGTATTTTAAGGAAATAGGGTTCAAGTTAGTGAGCTACCACATGAAAGGGCCACCAAGTGTATATATTCCTTTCCCTCTACAAACACAAAGTAGTTTAAGGAATTTGAGGGTTCAGATGACTGGATAGTTGAAAGTTGAGTGTGACTTTGTGTATAGCTTAACCCAGAGCTCAAATGCTATCAAGATCTATCTACCGCCTCTGCCATTATTTGTTGAAAGTGTCAGTGGACTGCTCAGGCTATATGTGGTTATAGGATCTGTCTCAGGTCTCTCTCTTAAGCTTTTCAGACAGTATCATGGTTTGGGGTCAACTCTAGGAGAGCCACTTGCCTGTTTCCCAGGCAGATGTGCTGCTCTGGGAATGGACTGATTAGTCAACTTCAATTAAGGTCCACTTCGCCCTTGACCCAAGGTTTGGAGAATAACCGGTTCTGCAGAGAGGAGTTAGGATAGAACTTTTCTAAGAAGAGGGGAATGGAGGGTGCTAATGGCTAACATATGAGCTCTGCAAAGGAGTAATGAAGGCTTGAACTTCAGACACTGCAGTTGGAATGGAAGGAAAGGGAAGAAGTACCAAACAGAGGAAGTCAAGCTGACCTCCTGGCTAGAACTGGAAATAGACAGGACACAGGCTTGGATTCACCTTGCATATTTGGAGCTATGTGGCTAGAATTTGCCAATGTCATTCATGAAGATTTGGGGTGAAGTAGAAGGAACTCATTTACGAGAGAAGAAAGGCGGTCTCTTGCTTTCTCATGCCCGTTTTTGTTAATAAGATTGTTTCCAGCTTCTCAAACTCAAGAACAATTGAGTACTGCAAGAGGCAGAAGGCAAATTCTTCCACCAACCACTTATTCTCAGAAGACTTGTCTCTGTGGTTTTGAAAACTCTTCTCTTGGAACTTACGTGTGAGAAAATTTATTTTCTCCCAGCACTCTGCATTGCTTTTGCTTGAGCTAGCAGGGACTATGGAGTAGAAAACTGTCAGAGCTGGGTTCAGTCTTCTCCCAGGGAACATTTCTGCATGACTGACTTAAGAGTATCTTTGAATGAATTATGGATTAGACTGGAAGAAGTGAAGTACTCATGTATAATGTCCCTGTTAGTGCCCATGGAATTATGAAGTGAGAAAAATCTAGTAGGATTTGGATATAAGAAATGAAGAAGGGTAGACATTGAATCATCATAGCCTGTGCAGAGACGTATCAGCATCATTTTTGTTTTGTTTTGTTTTGGGTTTTTGGGGGAGTGTTCATCACCAGGTACTGTTGCAAATTCTCAACACAAAATGAGTCATTTAAGCTGGGCAGTGGTGGTGCACACCTTTAATCCTAGCACTCAGGAGGCAGAGGCAGGCAGATCTCTGTGAGTTTGGGACCAGTCGGGTCTTCAAAGCAAGTTCCAGGACAGCCAGAACTGTTACACAGAGGAACTTTGTCTTGAAAAACCAAAAAGCAACAACAACAAAATGAGTCATTTATTCACCTTAGCAACTCTGTGTTATTACTGATATTCCCAATTTATAGATGGGGAAACTGAGACCAACAAATCCTTCTTAATGTACTGTGTTAAGAGTCTCACAACTAAAATAGTGGACTTAAAATTTAAGGACATGAGCACTTAAATCAGCTAATTGTATGTTTTCAGAACATCTCCAGACAATCATAATTTATGCCCATTCACTCAACATAATTCAAAATATGGACTCTAGAAAGTGTCCTCATTTGAATACAAATTATGAACACCATTCCTCTTACCCATGATCATTTGCTCACTCAAAGCCAAGGAAAATCCAGTCTATGCAACAGAGGCATCCAAATGAGTAGACAAGATTTCCAGGTATACGGCATTTTGAAGTGAATGTGATTATCTGATAATCTCTAGTTTGTCCTGAGAATTAAACATGGTATATGGGTTGGTATAGGTTTGATTTGAACTAATAAGTCAGTCTGCATCCTGAAGGTTTCGAAGGCTTGACATATACTGACAAAATGTGGCTGAGGCTATGCTTTACATCTTTTGACAGGGAGTTTGGTTTAGGCCTCAACCTTTGGCTCTTGCAGGTTCCCCCAGATCTCCAGAATGAAGTGCTCATCAGCCTTCTGGAGACAGATCCGGATGTCGTGGACTACTTGCTCCGAAGAAAGGCTTCCCAATCCTCGTGAGTATGCCCATTTCCCAGCTCGTGGAGTCACGCCCGTGATGTTCTTCTTTAGTTCCATTTCTAAAGAATATGAATGGTAGCTATATCTGCATGTAGAGCGACACAACTGGAATGTTGACAACTGTGTGGCAATTCTGATCAATCCACCTGAGCAGAAATTATTTCAGTCTTATCAACGTACCAAAGTCCAAGTCACTTTCCCAGACTTTTCTTGTTTGTTTTCAACTATCTCTAGAGTCTTCAGGAACTTCTGACTTATGTTCACAGGGGAAAAAAAAATTCTAAACCACTGGCAAGAAGCTCAAAGGAGTAAAATGTGCATAAATGAGTCTAGCAGACATAACCAACCTGTGGCCCACAGGCCACATGTGCCTCACAATAACTAAGAATTCAGCCCAACACAAAATCACAAATTTAATGAAAATGTTACAAAATTTTGTCTTTATAACTCAGTTGTACAGTTCTTGCTCATCAACTTTGTCAGTGACAATATTGTGTCCCAATGTTAAAAGTCTAGGCATGTCTGTTAAGAGTCTTGGTAAACACTTAATGCCCTGTAGGCTGCATTGGGGTGAGGGGATCATCTTCCTGGTGCAATTTTACAGGTGGGAGCAATCCATTTCTAAACCACAAGAGCAACCTTTGCTGAGACCTAAGTGCCCATTTGCAATGAGAAGTGTGTACTTTCCCAGCTCTGTCATTACCTATATCTTGTATTGTCTTGATGAAAATGCACACTATCCAAGTTTGCAAGGAGGCAAATACAAGGCATGATTTAAGTTACGGCTTGCCACCATTTTGCCCTAAAAGGAGCACAGAATAGTTTGTTGTTCAGATTTTATGTTTAATCCCAGCAGCTGCTAATAGAGGCAGAGTGTATGAAGGTGTTATAACATTTGGAAAAGCCAGGTAGAGGGATGGCATTGCCACATTAACCAGGAGCACCATCCCCACATAAATACCCGATCATAAATTTAGGATAGGAATTATTGATGCTATTCTCACTTGAGAGTATCATTGTGCTGTGCTTTCAATCCTTAAGTCTAGGTCACATTTGCTCATGTTCTAGTGACTTCTAAAGTGAGATTAATCCTAAAACCAATGATATGCCTTAGCCTAATTCAGAGCATTTTTTTTTTTTTTCGTTTTTCAAGACAGGGTTTCTCCGTGTAGTTTTGGTGCCTGTCCTGGATCTCACTCTGTAGACCAGGCTGGTCTTGAATTCACAGAAATTCGCCCCGCTCTGCCTCCCGAGTGCTGAGATTAAAGGCGTGCGCCACCTCCGCCCGGCTTCATAGCATTTTCTTTTCTTTTTCAGCCATGGATTTTTTTTAAAAAGACACGGCTTATTTAGATGTAACTTAGAAAAAAGACATGTTCAGTTATTTCTATAGACATACCAAATTTGATTACTTTTCATTTCAAATTATTTCAGGTGATAATAAAAGTATACTATTTAGGGAAATTGAATGAAAAGGAAGTCCACATTGTTTAATCCCCTTCTTAACAGGCCAATACATTAAGACCCCTGCTGAATGCAGTTCCCCCTCCCATTCCAATAGTCCAGGGAAGGTCTTGTAATCAGATCACCCTTTCAATGCATTTTAAGAAAAGACTATTTGTATGCCAATCAATTATCAAGGCAATTTCTGGTTCAAGCAAGATACTCTACTTGGATTCAAGTTTCAAGAAACATAAGTAAATGTAAATATATAAGAAATACAAATGGACCTGCATTTCATGGTCTTGTTTTCATATCAGGGAATTGGAACTGCACTTAATTTTTTCCTATATTTCTAAATCTCATCAAGTTATAAATTCTCATTTCTCGGCCGGGCGGTGGTGGCGCACGCCTTTAATCCCAGCACTCGGGAGGCAGAGCCAGGCGGATCTCTGTGAGTTCAAGGCCAGCCTGGACTACCAAGTGAGTTCCAGGAAAGGCGCAAAGCTACACAGAGAAACCCTGTCTCGAAAAAACAAAAAAAAAAAAAAAAAATTCTCATTTCTCCCCAACCAATCATATGCTATGAGAATTTTTATAATCTTACATGTGTCTCTCCTGTGGGCAAGAAAAACAGTGATGTTTCTATTTGTAAATCCCTCATTAATCTTTGTTTATAACATTTTGTTGGTATATGATAGGAAATCTAGAAAACATACACACAAAGAGAAAAGTAACATGGAATTTTTACTGTCCAAATTTCTTATTTTGTGTGGCATTATTTAGATAGGTACATTTTATTCTCAAAAGACCATTGACAGGAATGCAATGTGGTTTCCAAGCGTGCTTTTGGTATATAAATGCCAAGGTAAGAACAGAACCTTTCTTTCTCTACTCTTAGGAAGGACAAAGTGCACATATTAAGCCCACGCCAAGCTGTGCAATTGTTCTAGCTTCTTTTGTTGCTATCCTTATATGAGTTACTCTTTAGGGAAGAGAAGAGGATTAGTTTTGTTTTTCTTTTTGTTTGTTTTCCTCTAGGTACAGGCAAAGAACAGTCCAGAAGGTCGCTAATAATGCCATGATGTAAACTATCGATATTTGTGAAAAACTTTTTTTTAAAAAAAGTGGCCTTCTGAGGCTTGAGCTGTAGGTGGTCACTTTGGGCCATAAACATATGCTTCCCAAACTCCTGGTGTATAAGGAGCTCTTCAAATCTTGGGAGGTTGCTTCTTCTGAGTCAGTAGGATTGGAGAAGTGGGCTGAGATTCTGTATTTCCAACAAGCTCCCTGTAGTGCTGTTGTTACTGGTCCATGATCCACATTTGGAGTAGAGAAAGCTTAAAATGCCAAGGCATTTTCTTAACTTTATGTGCATTCAGATCTTATGGGAGAGGTGTATTATTCATTATATAACAGAATGCAAAATGGCAGGTACTAGACATGGTTTCAGACTCACCTGCCCATTCCAAATACCTGGGGATTGTAAAGAACAGCTGTGAGTCTCCCCCATAACCATGGTGTTTGTTCATTTGTTCTGGCTTGCAGTCCAGACACTGGGATTTTCAAAGCTCTCCACATGATTCTAATAAGCAGCCCAAACTCCAAAGAACTGACTCAGATCTACCACTTGGATTCTCTATATTTAAAATACCATGGGGACTTGGGTGGGGTGAGTTTTGACCTTTAACATGTGTCCTTGTGTTGATAAAGGAGCAGAACAAATGTTCTGGCTTATAAGTCCATTTGGAGTTTGTAGAAAAGAGGGAGATGTGATTTTTCAGTCTCATAATGGCTTCTGTGGGAAGGAAGAGCTTGTAGTGTACTTGGAAGCTGAGTGAAGATGTAACTGGTTCTGGGTGTTCAGATAGCTAGTCCTGGATTTGGTCAAAACAGCAAAGTTGCCATCTATCTGGGGACAGAATAATGAAGTTAGGTAGATGTCCTAAAATAAAATGCTGCAGTGTGTTGGGGTGACATTTAAATCAGAAAGTAGTGATAAAGGAATACAGTGACAAAATATCCCTGTAATTATAGAGACTGTAAATTATAGTACCCCAAAGTGACAGATGGTGCTGGCTACAGTAGTATCCACATCAATTAACCACCTATCAGTTGTGTCTGTGTAATTTATGACACTGCTTTCAAGCTTCAAGTTGACATTGAGATTTCCCATGTCCCAATTCAAAATTGTTGCTACTTGTTTTATGCTATGGGGTATGTTCATCGATGACTCTCTGGCTCAGTTTTCTTATCTGTTAGTTGGAAATTAAACAGTTACTGTGGGTTTATTCTGAATTTCACCATATGGTTCACCATTTAAAACTACTTACCAGAGAGTTATTGTGTATGAGGCACTATGACTGTGTCCCTTGACATCTATGAGATAGCAGATGGACACAAAATATGGCCCATGAGAACAAGAGGGCATTGGGTCTAAAAACAGAGCTCCTTATGCACTGGAGACTTTTGAATTTCTTTCCCCCGAAGCCTCCATTCCCCAGTTCACATACCTAAGTAAAGCTTTAGATTCCTGTGAGGCCAAGTGGAAACACCACAAGATTTAATTCGGAGGGGAAACGAAATAAATTTTCAAAAGAGTGTAAAACCCAGAATGAGAAAATATGTATTATTATTTCTGTTTTGAAAGAGCAGACATTTCGTGATATTTGGGAACTTGGTGTTTTGTTATGATTTGTGTTTTTCTCTTCTGTGTACAACATCATAATTGGGTGAGTGCAGAGAGAATTTACTATCTTTTCATGTGCTCATCCACTTCAGGGTTTAGCTTTCTCCAAAGGGGCATGCCAGAGGGGGATTAGAAGAGATTTTCAGTACCAAAGTTGCCAGGCTTATGAGTTTTTCACAGCTTGTCTGGTGTACTTGCTAGAATTATGTGATCTTTTCTTCAGAAGTCCTTAAAACAGACCAGCCTCTCTTTGATTCAGGAATGTGACAATATAGGGGAAGATGGGAGAAAGGTAATCTAAATGTAGGTTGAATGAGGACCTCTAAAGCAAAACAAAGGTGTTGTAGTCGGGTCAGGAATAGGATGAGGTAAAGGGGGCACCTATCTGGGCACAAAATTTAAGGAAATAACTCAGTCATGAACACTATATTGTAATATAATATTTTATAAAAATCAAATTTGATTCCCTGCCCCCAGACAATGAAAAGACAAAAGAGCAACATTTTCTAAAGACCAATGTCATACTTATCCACCCAACATGCCAAGCTGATAGTAAAACAAGTGGGCCTGGCCTAAATGGATGCAACCCATCAATCATATTTTCACAAACTCCCCTTTCTTTGTCTCTTTTTAACTGAGACAGTTACTAAGTGTGACAGTTGCTATTGACAAAGTGACAATCTGAAATGATTTTTAGTTAAATTAACCTGAGACTAGATGATGATAACATTGTTTGGAATAAATGATGCATTCAAGCTTAATTCAGTGTTAAGGGTTCCAATATACATATTTTTCATTTTTTTAGTATTATCTTTACTTCTTTAATGTTCTAAGGAGAGAAATGAACCTTACATAAAATTATTTATA